CTGCCTGCCAGCCTGCCTCTTGCACCCGCCCTCCTTGCTTGCACCTCTTGAACCCACTGGTACACCCACCCACCCACCCACCCACCCATGCCCCCAGATGGGCCTCAAAGTCACCAACGAGGCACCCGTGGGCGTCAAGGCCGGCCTGCGCGCCTCCTACCAGTGGGTGACCCAGGAGATGCTGGACGCGGTCAACAGGTGGAGGGGAGGGAGGGGAGCCTCAGGCTCCAGGCTGCAGCCTGCAGTGTGTGGTGTGCGGCGTGGGTGCGGCGTGGGTGCAGCGTGTGCCGATGCAGGAGGCAGGGCTGCGGGCGGGGACGCACAGGGGACGGGCGCCGGCCAGCCAGGCGCTGCCACCACCGCCGCGGCAGCCCTCGCCTGCGGCGGCAGTCTTGCCAAGTTTCCTTTGCGGCCCTTCCCTTCGCCTCGCCTCCCCGCCGCGCGCCTGCTGCTCCCGAGCACCCCATCACCCACATTACCTGCCATGCACACTACCTGCCCACGCTTTCCATCCCGCGCTTCCCATCCCCCGCTTTCCACCCCCTCCTGCCCCCAGGTACGAGTGGCGCCAGCTCCTCTTCACCACCTGCTTCCTGCACTCGGTGGTGCAAGAGCGGCGCAAGTTTGGGCCCATCGGCTGGAACATCCCCTACGAGTTCTCCCAGGGGGACCTGGCAGCAGTCACCCAGTTTTTGCAGGCGGGGCTGGAGGGCACAGCGGTGGGGCCGTGCCGCTGGGGGGGGAGGCGGCGGTGGCTAGTGCGGCGGTGGTGGCGGTGGCGCTGCCGTGCTGCTCGCCTCCCGGCGCTGGCTGTCAGTGCACCACATGGGGGCGCGGCAGCGGCGGGTCTCGCATCCTGCAGCGGCGGCCTCTCCTGCAGGCCTGCCTGGCGGCGTCCCGCGAAACAGTGCCTCCTGCCAGCCTGCCCGCCTGCGTGCCTGCCAATCCGGCCAGTCCTCGGCTTCGCCGCCACTCACCCTCGCCCCCTCGCCCCTGCTCCCCGCCCCCTCCCCAGAACCACATCGCCGACATGGATGCCAAGCGTGCGGCGCAACCCGACTGGGCCACAGTGCGGTGAGGGGTGCACGCCTGCCTGCCTGCCTGGAACCTGCCTGGAACCTGCCTGCCTGTCTGTGCCCTGCCTGCCTGCCTGCCTGTCCGCACACAGAGCCGCCGCCGCTCCCGGCAGCCCTGCCTGCTGCTGCTGCTGCTGCTGCTGCTGCTGCTTGATGTGCTGAACGTGTGTCGCTCGCTGCCCTCATCAGCG